AATGGAGTCGATGAGGATGATTTTCGCGAAGATTTCAGATTAGGACAAGAATTTAGATCCAAAATTGGTATCCCACAAAATGCAAGCATAGTTCTAGGTGTTGCAGGAAGACTAGTTAAGGACAAAGGCCATTCCCTTTTACACGAGGCCTTTTCGGAGCACAAGCTAAAATACCCCAATGTCTACTTAATCGTCGCAGGTTCCGGTCCATGGCAACAAAGGTACAAAGATTTAGGACCTCAATCCATTGTCCTTGGATCGATGAGTCCATCTGAATTGCGTGCTTTCTACAATGCAATCGACATTTTTGTTAATCCGACACTTAGGCCACAAGGGCTTGATCTTACACTTATGGAGGCTATGATGAGTGGAAAACCAGTTATGGCATCAAGATTTCCTAGTATTAAAGGGACAATTGTGGTTAAGGATGAATCTGGTTTCATGTTTTCGCCTAATGTCGAGTCATTGTCACAGGCATTGGAACTAGTTGTGTCTGAAGGCTCAAATAGGCTATTGCAGAGAGGAAAAGCATGTAAAGAATATGCAGCTTCCATGTTTACAGCAAGAAAGATGGCTTTGGCTTATGAAAGATAGTTCCTTTCTATCAAGAATGAAACATTTTGTATGTATCCACAAGAAGTTTGATATTTTTGTTTGATCTTTTACCATATAGAATTTGTTATTCGTAGGAATATTACGCAATAAATTTGCATCGATTTCAAGATTGACCTTTTTTTTCTTCTCTAAATAGTAATAAACATACTGGCACAGTACATAACCACTACATTGAACACCGTCTTTCTTTTTGTTATTAGTGCTTGCTATATAAAACTTTGTGAACCAAACTTCAATTTTAACCACACGTTTTGTGGGATTTGCAATTTTTATTAAATTTTTAACGATAATTTTTTATCAAAATCTGTTAAAGTTTTTATCTAAAACTTTGTTAAACAACCTCTAAATCTCCTTTCGATACAAGTAGATGACATTTTGCGTGTACAACTATAAAAATGCTATACGAGTTGGTCCAACTTTCATCTGTGCCAAATTTCGTGCCATGACCTATGGGGCGAATTTCACGTGCCTCGTGCATAGGCTATTGCTTAATAAACGTGCCAACTACACATGCTGTGTTCACCCCATCCCCACCCCCCAAACAGTGCAATGCACTACATTTAACAAAAAATAATTATCCCAACAAATTTGGAATGTAACCACACAAAAAAAAAAAGAAAAAAGAAAAAGGAAGAAGAAGAAGGATAATAAAAAAAATGAAATGTGTTGGTGTCGAAATTATTTCATGTGTCCTCTATAAGCATAACGTCAATAAATACTAAAAGTTTGACAAATAAGACTAGTTGGTAAGTTCAACCACCAAAAGTAAGAGTGGTGGCACTTATACCTAGGACTTTAAATGGATCGGATATGAGTAGATCCTTTTGTCCTTTATAAGCATAACATCAATAATACTAGAAGTTTGACAAATAAGACTAGTTAGTAAGTTCAATCACTAAAGTAAAAGTAGTGACACTTGCACTTAAAGCTGTAAATGGATCAGATATGAACTAGATCTACCTATATCCAATCCAATTCGATAATCCAACAACTATTTGACTATTAAATATATATCCGATACGCTATGTTATTGGATATTCGATTCGATAATCCAATCTGAAAATAAAGAAAATTAGGGAAAATAAAATGAATGTTGAAATTAATTGATTTTTTTCTTTCCAATTTTTCCAATTCTTAAACGGGTTCAATAATAAAATTTTCAACTTTTTTAACTTTTAGTCAATTGGAATAAAAGGCACAAAAATTTACTTACCCATTTATTAACTCACTTATTTATAGATGACATCTCCAAAACATTTTATTATAAACTTTCGATGTGGGATAAGAATCCATTTGATTTGAGTGTAGTACATTGTAACTTTGATTTTGCTATAGTATATTATGCATTTTGTTTGATTGTCGTGTATTGTACTATTATATAAATAGTTGTTTATATTTTATTAAATTAATCGTTTTTCTTGTCTTTTACTACTTAATAAAAATTTAGAACTCTCCAAATAATGCAATTAGCACTTTTATACTATATTTTTTTATCGAATATATTTATTTTGATAAACTCTTAAAATTGCATTTGGATAATTTGTATGTATTATTAAATAATTTTTAGATTGATAAAAAATATAAAATAATATTAAAATAAGAATACATTTTTACGATTTTTTAAGCCTAGGTTTCGCGTAGAGTCACCTAGCCTGAAACCTTTATGCCTCATCATTTATTACGCTTTTTAGAACATTGTGTACACGTGGATTAACTTATTATTATTATT